CAAACGTACTAAAATGTGTGAAAATGAAATCACATGAACCAAGTAATTCACAAGATGGAAACAAATGTTCACGTTGCTTGAGCACAGGTAACATGAAGGTGTATGCATGAACCGTTCATATACATACCCCTGAAATCCGGTATGATACATACATATCTAAGGTCTGTAAACATTTGAAAATTTGAAAATTTACATGTGCTTCCCCACCTAAGTACATTTATATGTTTCCAACCTGAGTAAACTTAGAACGAAATCGGAAATTTCAGCACCCATTGAAATTCAAAGGAATGCATCGGAAATACTGTATGATCATGTATTTACTTGGATATCTGTTTTGCAATTCATGTTTGGAAATACCGGACAATCCGGTCATGGCATACATGAACCATGTACTTGTGCATACGAAAATGTACGATGAGCATATGTTTCAAAGGTATAGATTCATATGAAATATATGCCCGAAGTTAGGAAATATCTGAAAACATACGTAAATCCGGTCATGGCATGTATTTCCTACTGTATTTACGTTTATTTCAATGGTTTACTATCCGGCTTTTGGTCCTGTGTAAGGGACGTAACTCGTGTAGGCTTATAAATACGTTTTAAGTGACTTGTTATTTCAAATAATACCATCGCTTACGATAAAGCTTTAACTTCAAGCCATTGCCACTTTATAGATATGTATTTATATTTTTTTGGATAAATCAGTTTTTCATGATGATGACAATTTAATTGTCCAAGTGCGTTACATATCAATGTGAAAAGGTTGCAAACTGCAAGGTCTTCCTTACCGCCCGCTGGAACACGTTAAGATGGATCCATACTACCCGTGAAATTAGTATGGTTTCATATACAATGGTTATCAACCAATCAAAAGTCTTCTAATTTATCTAAAGCGTAATGCATTGCTTATATGCTATGACAACACCGTGGCCGTACGTGAGTGATTAATGAGTGAGTGAGTTAAGTTTAACGCCGCATTTAGCAATATTCCAGGTAATATCACGGCGGGGAACAAAATATGGGCTTCACGCATTGTACCCACGTGGGGAATATAACGCAGATCTTCAGCCGGACGAGCGAACGCTTTAACAACGAGGCTTCTCCACTGCCCCGTGACCGTGCGTACTAACGTTAGGAGAAACGAAGTGTAAACAATCAAATGGCGATTCGGTGTGCATACGTTTATTTAATGTGTATATTTGACTGATGACTTAATGATAAAATAATGAATGTATTTTTTAGAATAACCATTCTGTTAATTATTCATCATACTTGAACAATGCATTTTTTCAAATTGTCATTTTCTCACTCTGTTCAATTAACGAAAAACTAAAGAATGTTATGTTCAATGTGCAGGTAAACATGGCCGACCAAGTATACAAAATATGGTTATGACCAGGGAAACAACATGGCACAGTGAGGTGTATGTAGGCCGCATATTTTGTGAAGGGCCTGCACACAGAAAATAGTTTAAAATATATTTCTGAATTTTATAAACTCAAATTCTATATAATTTCAATTTAAACATGTACTCAGTGTTACCATATGCTTTATGTACACGGAATATATAGAGCCGTATCGGGTAAAATTAACACCATGTCCCGCTGATTCTTGTTGTGTTTCGTTATATGAAGCAATACTTAATATTTATTAACAAAGAGCTCTTCATTGTAAATCATATTCCCGCCTAAAGGCGAATAAATCCTGTCCAGCAAATATGTTGCTGATAGATATTTGACATCGTCTACCATTGTAGGCTTAACTGGACACCCATGTCAGGTCATTCTGAACAGTCATGTCGGTCAAACGGTGTGCCATAGAAATTTAGATGTACAACATGTCAACAACTTTTCCTCGTTCCTGTTACTGATATTGTGCACAGTCTGGTAACAGGAACAATGAAAGATTGTCCAGTATTTGTCACATGTATGGCGGTAATGCATCAGTATAAGCTAACAATTTGAGGAAGTATTTGTAAAGTCGGTTTGTTTGTTTGCTTGTTTTTTGTTTAACGCCGCACTCAGCAATAGTCCAGCTGTGTGACGGCAGTCTGTAAATAATCGAATCTGCATCAGATAATCAACAGCATGAGCATCGATCTACGCAATTGGGATGCAATGACATGTGCTACTTGTGAAGAATTAATGGACGTCAATATAATGAAATTATAACAAGAATGTAAACTAACGCAAACTACGACCCCATATTCCAAATAAAGTAACAAGATAACATTTGTTACAACTGTTATCTGATTGGTCACTTACAGTTTGCTCAGGTTAACCCTGATAATCGAGTGCTATTCAAGCCTGTGTATCTAAAGCAGCAAACATGATTTGTACTTCCCCTGTATTTTGAGTAATGCAATACATGGAAATTTATTGTGAAAAAGATCGTTTTATCTTTATTCTCATTCATTTTTATTATTAAGATTTATTGTTTTTCATTACGAACGATCGATTGACTGCACGTCATTTGTTTGAAAACACAGCTTGTCAGCTTTTCAAAAGTTGAAAACATACATTGGTGAAAATTTAAGCACATTTACAGTAACATTAATGCAGGTGTATTCACGATTCTGATAGTTTTTGTTTCAAATTTACTAAATTGCAACACCTTCCTTACTAAATTACTTATGCAATTGCATGTACCTATTTCAACGTGGACAGTTGTGATAATAACCGAACTGCAGTCGTTTGTGAATATTTTATTTGCGGACCAAGCAAACACAATTATGAGAGACTAACACATATTTGACCTTGACTTGACAACTTTATCCGAAATCTGAAAAAGTAAATAACAGTATCGTGTCTGATACATGTCGATCAAGGAGAAAGAAAAGCACTCCCGTCAAATGAATACACAATGCCGTTTAGAAAGTGGTCAAATGTAACGTGTTATATTTGGGATTACGTTTTTCTAGTAAAAGATTCTAGTACTTTTGTTGGGTTGAGTCTCATCTGGGGTTCGAGCCCACAACCTTAGAGTGAGGCACGTAATCGCCAGCACACAATGTCAGCCATCTAACCCATTCAGTCACCGCGACTGAGAAAGTGTAATCCCAAATATATTTTATGTTTGCAACAACGTTATTACCTAGATGCAGTTTATGACTAATATCTACACCAAGATACATATATTCAGCAACTAATTTCACTGATTTCATTTTCAATTTCCTTGCAGAACCACTGAACGTAACTAGCGAGTCGTCTACCCCTTCTAAATACAACAATATTTGACTTATCAAGTATGACATTTAATTGCCATTCATTCGATTTATTCTCTAAACTTGATTCAGTAAACCCACCACACATCAGCAAACAGTAACATTAAAATCTCCAAAATATAGAATATACCTGTACAACATGTGTGCCTTTATAGATTATTCCATTTCTAACTCACTGACAAGGAGGAAAAAGAAATAGGACTCAACACACCTTCTTGTATAACACCAATGGGCAAACAAAATAGTCAGTAAATTCTCCAAAACAACGTACACAATCTTTGACGCACACACAGATACCTTATAACACAGACAATAATCCAATCCTGCCTATCATAAACACACCCATAGTTTCTGTCGATTTGCAGAGTCAATGGCTTTCTTAGTGACAATAAATGTTCCATACAATGTACGTTTCCTTCTTACCATATACATCTAAACAGTGGCATAAAAACTACAATTATGGGTAGCAGTAGAATAGCCTTTTACTGAAACCAGTTTATGTTTCAGGAATTTTATCACTAGTATTTGCCAAATTGTCAGAATTTTGTTTGATTATCAGTAACCTATCCTATATACCATTTGACAATTCTATTCTGTGTCTTGAGTAATATGATAAAACACAGCACAACAAATTGTTGTTTTAAGCACTTTTTATTCACATTCTATGGACAGGTGACATTAAACAAGCTTCCATAAGCAGCAAGTGATTACATTGTTAGGGCTACGAACGTTTCGAGAATAAGGGCCCTGGATGTTATGGTGTGAATAAAATTACGACCCTGCTGTTAATCTAAAACGTTTTATATATTGGGATAAAAGTCACATTAAACAAGCTTTCATAAGCAGCAAGGTATTACATTGTTAACCAAATATGTAACTTTATAAGCGCTTAGGTATTTAGATCATAGGGTTGTTAGAGAAATACGATATTATGTAAAATAATCATATTAGTACAGTTGGGTAGTTAAGTAAAGGGGAGTCTGTATGTGGACTGACTTAGTGGATGGGTGTATAAAGATATAGACAATTCAGTGGCTAAATCGATAGATAAGTCGACAACTTGGATAAATGAATAAATGAATCTGTGCATCTTTATCTGTACATGTAACTAATTAATACATGAATAATAGAAGCAATAACTACATCAACAAGAAAAGAAATTAATACCAAAAAAATTAATTAATCGATAAAACACACCAAATACATCTAAACATAGCAATCAGTCAACAACCAACCAACCAGGTCACATCACATCACATCACATGTTATGGTGTGAATAAAATTACGACCCTGCTGTTAATCTAAAACGTTTTATATATTGGGATAAAAGTCATATTAAACAAGCTTTCATAAGCATCAAGGTATTACATTGTTAACCAAATATGTAACTTTATAAGCGCTTAGGTATTTAGATCATAGGGTTGTTAGAGAAATACGATATAATGTAAAATAATCATATTAGTACAGTTGGGTAGTTAAGTAAAGGGAGTCTGTATGTGGACTGACTTAGTGGATGGGTGTATAAAGATATAGACAATTCAGTGGCTAAATCGATAGATAAGTCGACAACTTGGATAAATGAATAAATGAATCTGTGCATCTTTATCTGTACATGTAACTAATTAATACATGAATAATAGAAGCAATAACTACATCAACAAGAAAAGAAATTAATACCAAAAAAATTAATTAATCGATAAAAAACACACCAAATACATCTAAACATAGCAATCAGTCAACAACCAACCAACCAGGTCACATCACATCACATCACATGTTATGGTGTGAATAAAATTAAGACCCTGCTGTTAATCTAAAACGTTTTATATATTGGGATAAAAGTCACATTAAACAAGCTTTCATAAGCATCAAGGTATTACATTGTTAACCAAATATGTAACTTTATAAGCGCTTAGGTATTTAGATCAAAGGGTAGTTAGAGAAATACGATAATGTGTAAAATAATCATATTAGTAGTCGAAAACTTGGATAACTGAATAAATGAATACTAAGTCAAGCATTACGAAATCATAAGCAGTTTTTCTGTGCATGTTTATCTGTGCATGTAACTAAGTAATATATCAATAATAAAAGCAATAACTACATCAACAAGAATCACATCACATCACATCACATCACATCACATCACATTACATCAATATGTCGGTGATTAATTGAACCTATAAATAAAGAACTGGATGCTATGGTGTGAATAAAATAAATCTAAAAGGGTTTTAAATATTTGGATAAAATAGTAGGTGGTAGAGTTAACATATGTGTATAATTCTTCATTCTATACATATGGATTCAAATTAGCATAATAAAATTGGTTTTTCTACTTTGTATATATCAACAGGTTGGCATTTGTTTCTTATACCTAATATTAATATTTCTCTCTTTGCGGCCAGTGTGATGTGATTGGACCCGGTTGAGTCCTGGAGTGTTTACCATGTTCGCGTCCAAGAAATACACCAAAGACATTGTCTCTATTACCTAAGTTATTCCAATGTAAAAAGCTTTGAATTGGAATTCCAGTAACATCACATCCTTTGTACAGTTTCTATACTAAGTAGGAGAGACAAAACCCTTTCACCATTCTTAAGAAATCGACTGTACAATTGTTTCAGCAGTATTACAGTTGTATGATGGTGTTTGTAAACAAATCGGGTGTGAACCAGACAATCCAGTGACTGTCACCATGAGATACGATGACAGAGCATATGTTTATGAATCACTATGATATACTAAAGGAATTGTTTTTAAATGGAATGTCTGCACATATTTCCCACTTATTACATACAGCTGCAAAGTCATCAATTACCAATAGCTTAACGGAAAACCAGCCAAAACTTTTTATTAGCTAATCATTTCTAAGATGTTACCGTTTATTCCAGTTACAATAGAATACTTTTATTTCAATCCCCTAGTGAAACAGGAAGAACAACAAGTATTTTTATCACTATCTTTGTTATACCAGTTTTGTATAAACTGACATCAGTTGCGGAATTGTGATTAAGCCATATGAGTTCAAACATCATACATGTGTCTAGGGTAAATATAGTGTTCTCTATAAGATATATTCCAAATATCAATCATTTTATTCCAGTAAGGATTATCAACCTGACTTTATTTATTTGATTAATGTTAGCCACTAGAGGATGTATATAATTGAGTTCTTTGGACTTTCAATATTAGGTTTCGAAGGCTGCATCTTAAGTTTGATTCGGTCAAATCCCGATGAGTCGGATGCCGGCGTCTCGAATTGAATATTATGCATAACTCGAAGTACCTGTCGGTCCCAACCATTCCCTGTTACAGTTGTCATCATTTGATTTCCGGTTACACGAATTTGTCTCATAAATACAACGCCAACCTTCTCTATGGTCCGTATCAAGTTAGATCGTTGGTTTTTAGTTCCTTTGTATTCCATATAAAATTGAAGAAAGTTCGGTTTAGGCTATATATGACTTCCAGCTAGGGTCTTTATTATTGTTACACATTTACCTATCAAAGTTAGTCTTCCCTTTCGCAGGTTTGTAAGTATTTCATTAAAATATTCTAGTCTGGTCCTGATATTTTCAAAGGTCTTTCAAGTGTGTGTTAAGTTTGATTGTTAATACTTCAAATTCTTCTGACCGCCAGCCAAAGTGAAAACCCATGACAGATCTCTATATCACTTCCTGATACGAATCAAGTCCGAAGTTTCGAGTACTATCACTACATTCTTGAAAACTGAGACGAATCAACATGATGCTACATGTATGAAATGTTTTCAAAGGTCATTCCCTGGAGTGGAATTTAAACACCATCGGCCTTTCCTGTATCCAAAGGACATCGATGTTCTTGGTGGATGTTTGTCTTTTATGCTGTATAGTGGTAGATATCTGTTGACCCAGGAGAAGACGAAGGGCTGCTACTCATACTGCAGTTGAGTACAGTCTTCACATGAAGTGCCCTTTGGTATCATTAAAGAAAAGACATGTGATATCACATTAACATACACATAAATACATACAATTAAAAATGTTGGGGCATTCATTAAAGTGTGCCATAACCATTGATAGTATAACTAGACGTCATTAATATAGGGTCAAATGATATATTACACATGTAAAGAAAAGTTTCTCAGAAATAATAGGTCTGAGAGTGTCATCATAATGTTTAATGTGTTGACAAACGTGACACATCGTGACATACAGACAAACAAATCAAGCAGCACTAGCAAACATCAGTCGTATAGACCAAACACACACACACACACACACACACACCACCCCAACCCCAAATGAAAATGACAAACATGAAGCACTCGGTCATTCAATATCTTGTGTACCCTCCTCGCGCGTCCAAGACGCGGGTGTACCTTGTTCTGAGGCTCCGTATCAACGAACAGCAACAATAGATTTGAGTAATTATGCAGTAACAACTGACTGAGATTGTCATTAGTCGTTTAACGTCAGATGACAAGCTCCCTGTTGTCCATCACGTCATTTATCACGAAAAGGACAACCTTTTAATATTGATTGAATCCGTTTCTCTTTTCAAGATAATCTTGGATTCGACGAGACATTGTTTATACTCAAATGTCCTCTGTAAACTTGTTTCATTCCATCCATTCATCCGACAGGGCAGCACCAATATCGTAGAGGTTTGTCGGCGATTGCTTACGTGTGCGCCGTCAAAGGATATCGCACATATGTTTGATTGGGGATAAGTCTGGATTGAGTGCTAGATATGTTAAAGTAGTTAGTTTCCCCAATTGGAGGTGCTTAGCAACGAACTGTGTGCATTTGCGCTGTCATCCTGAAACACACACCGACGTCCATGTCGTCGCGCAGATGGCACAGTGTATGTCTCCAGGATGTTGTCACGGTAGTACTGCCCTGCTTTGCTTAGGGTGAGTGCTCAGTCCGTCTAAACCACACTATGTGGCGTCTGTCAAGGAAGTCGAAAGTATAACGTTTGCCCAAAGATGATTAGTCCAGCTCTGCCTCTTGACAACAACTTCGCCTTGCAGTAATGTCATGGTCCGTCAGTAGAGGGGAAACTCTTAGACATCAGACCCGCAGGTTCCATCTGTGAAGCCGATTACGAATGCTCTGTCCATTCACGTTAACACCTGCAGCTGTGAAAATCATGAACGACGTCCAAGTGTCAAAACGTCAAGACAGATAGATACGGGTGACAGGCACAGGTTCGAAACTGCAGAAACCACTGCTCACACCCTTCAAGGTTTTTAACCAGAGACTGCTTTAGCCAATCAATACAAGATATGACCGACCCATCCTGACGCAACATTGTCAAGAAAACAATAAAAGTTGGTGCCGAAATCAAGTCCTATTAATTTCGGTTCTGGTGGGGGACTGCTGTTTTTATAGAAGAGTCCAGATTTAACATTCCCTGTATTGACAGACGTCAACACGCCTACAGACGTCTTGTGGAGCGTTGTGCTGAAGCTTGTGTCATGGAGAAGACAGCTTCCATGGTGATTAGGAAAGGGGTAAAATCACATTAGACTACCAATTTAGTTGATGTTCAGAGTAATTTGACAGGTGTGGGCTGAAGGGATCAGATTCAGGGAACCGTTTCGTCAAAGTCATGGCCAAAGATTGATGGCCTTCCAACAGGAAAATCACTGTCCTCAAACTTCTAAGGTTTCGATGAGCTTTCTGAAGCAGCGCACTGATTTAGTACACCCTTGTCCTGCAAAGTCACCTGATGTCTCCCTCTGATACTGCGTGGGATGAAATGGTCTGCGTCTTGATTTGACAGCAGAGTTACCGAGCATATTTCAGGCCATTTCTTACCCTTTTGTGTTCGTTTGACAAACTGTGGGTCGGAGATACACTGCTGGTTTCTATGCATACCCGTCGTTGGGTTTGTGACATTTTTATTTGACCCCTGCACCTCAATTTAGGCTCGCAACGTTTTTGTCATGCCGTCTTCTTATGATCTCGATGTTGCCTATTAAGTCTACATAGAAACATGTCATTGTAGTTGTATTATCAGATTTAGAAAGATTTTAAAAAAGCAGTTTCTGTTTGCTGTTAGTATGTAAGGATACTTACATTCATCAATTGTGAATTGATATCTTTCCAACATTGACTGAGCTCGCTTTATCTTTCCTGGGATGGGTTTGGCGCGAACATGTTGCATGGACTTGAAGATAACCACATTTCTTGATTTTCGAAACGATTGACTCGTAATCTGATACTGAAACTACACCAAAAACACGTAAAATACAATAAGCGTAATCTTACAATTGAAAGAAAATATTAATAAGCTTGTTCTTTCAACTTAAAGGGTTCTTTATAATGGATGTTACTGTCTCAGATTATCAATTTAACACCCTAAATGGATTTACATGATTTACATGGCACGCGATGTTCATAGAGGAAAACAATTATGTGCAAGAAAGAGTGCATACCTCCACTGCGTTTGCTGAGCTGATGGCAAGATTTCCCTTCTGAGGTGAAGGCACAACTTTCCTCGTCAACAAGTACACAAGTTCAGTGTTGTGGTCTGAATTGTACAAGACAATATAGTTAGCCTTCGACGTTGTAGAAATATTCCTAATCAATAAAAACAGGTTCCACAATGCATCTCTGATACTGTTCCTTGTTTCAGAGTGGTCCTCATATGCAAGATATCGATTAAAAGGATGGAGACTGATTCTTACCTGAAACTGACACGCTTCCCTCACTATTCAGCGAGTCTTTGTCACTTGCTACCGGAAGACTTGACTCAAGGACTGTACCATAGCCTTGCATTCTAGGTCCAATATCCAAATTTGGATAGTGTTTCCTGAAAACGAAACCAGGTCATGCGAATATACAATCCCTACTTCCATGGATTAATTGTATAGGGTAGCAGATGTTAAGAGTTGTGCATTGTGCGCACACCATGTATTACGTTTTACAGTAACACATCCAAGACTGGTTATAATACTAAATGCTAGGTAACAATACGAGCTTGGGATACGTGTTTTAGTGACCCTATGAAACCTTAGCACTGTACTGGTTTCCTTTTTACCTCAAGACCGTGTGTTGATCTTCAGACATATATTCAGTGAGTTCCTGAAAATGAACTCGAATCGCGCACACCTTAGAGAGTCTACAGAGTGATTCTAGAGCCACCAGAATGTTCTGAAAAGTGATGGAGTTCTGGGAAAGAACACCTGCATCGTTAATCACATCAACCATCTCTTCAAATTCCAGTTTACTCAACATGTAGACAGCGCCTTCCTTTTCAGATCCCATGTCTATCAAAGATGCTGCTTTACATTCAGCGGCTGCCTGTAGGATTGATGTTGCTGCAGCTCTACTCCGTGATTCGTTCATTTGGTGGGGTCCTGCTATGCTAAATAATGTTGCCCTGTCTTCAAACTCTTCAATTCTTTTCTTGATTTCACCTTGCTCTTCAACAACTCCACTTATGACGCTGATATTTTCGTGCAGTGATGTCCGCATGATCTTTGTAATGTGCCTCGATAGAAGTGAATTGTACAAGGCATACTTCTCTGGTTTGTCATTCGTTCTCACAAAACTGAGAACAGTAACAGGTCTGTTGTGTGCAAATATGATGGTATCGCAAATAAGCTGCTTTGGTACTTTGATTCTGTCATTGTCCACGTTCAGGCTGACAACAAGAGACCTCCCGATGTACACGAACGACTGGTCATAACCCAAACCCTTCAAACCATCAATTATACACTGATGATTGTCTGATAGGTAGATTTCCAGCTTCAGTGGGAAAAACACACAGTCATCTGGGGAAAAAATATGATTAATTATATTTACTATTAGTTCTATCTTTTGCTGTCTATACCTCCCCTACTGCTCCTTCTACAGAGAGTATCACCGCATAGATCTTTAAAAGTTGTCTGATCAGGGGTACTGCATTTAAGCCCTTAAGTTTTCAAAATGTTCTAAAAAGACATGTGTAGATCATGTATATCTTGGACGCGTCTAGACCAGTGACCTCATCCAATTCCCTAGTTTTTCAGGTACTATATGTTCATGGGTTTGTTAAAATGCTACTCAGTCAATGTAATTTTCTTACGCTAGTGCAGCGTTTGGGATCCGTTAATCATTGGATCGATGCCTTTGGCCATAAGGTGCAAGGAGCAGAGATTCGAACCTACAGTTAGAAAGGCCGCAGTCTCAGAGGAACACGGCCTGTTTCCTTTGGGCAACTGCAGTGAATATCACTATTGATCCTTCTCACAGGTAGATTATACTTGAATTCAGTTCGACTCCAGTTTGTTTAAGAGTCACATTCCCCAATATGTAAATATACCATCAATAAATATCAGTAAACACAAATGTTGTGAAAGAATAAATACCTTCTTGTCTTGACTGCAATTTCTCCAAGTAACTCGTATCAGGATTTTCGAAATGTGCATCCGCTTGCCCCTTTAGAACTGCAAACAATTGTTGTTTAAGATTTAAGTTGACTCCAGAACAATCCACGTGAAGGTACATGATTTTATATTAATGTTTCTCGAAGCAAAATGGTAAACCGTCTCTTATACAGTTGCTCTTCAGCATGAAAATAGGTTTTCCCCAGCAGGAACTGACTGCATTTAAACTACGGTATGTGTGGGGTTCTTATCACTGCTGTCAGAGTCATTTGGCCTTCAGTGTAAAAATAGTAGACATGCATATGACATCACTAACCTTCGGCTCAATGCAAAGTAAACTTTGATACCCCGACATCAGCATCCTCCTTAGAGTATATATTTCTCAAAGAAATGAAGACATATAATGCCCAGGTATTGAGGATGGGACTGAAACCTTTACGCTGACTGGCTATTACTAGGCGTATGCTGGCATTTGTTCCAGGCCTATTTGGAACTGTTTTATCGGGTTTATGGTTCTGTCATTTAAGGACAGTAGCCAAACGCGACGTTCACCAGTCTTTTAATGAGTTGCCATAAATTTGAATACATTCAAATAAAGGGTCTAAAGGCCAGAATTCCGCAATTTCCGACCACATAATTAAGAACAACGACCATATCATCATGTGGGAAGGTACCAAAGTTCTATTCACCAACAACCGGCGTCAAAGGAAACTACGAGAGGTCCTTGACATCAGGAGATTCCAGCCAACGATGAACCATGATCAGGGTAAATTATCTGCCTACCGCTTGGGACATTAAGTTCTTTCATCTGTACCACCATTCACCTGTAGCTTTGCCTTAGCTGGTTGCAGTAAGCAGCCAAACCTACGGTAATAGTATCACACTGCAAATGCGAGAAGATTTGTTATAATTGCTGAGGCTTCCAGAAATGAAAGTATGGGGAAATGTTTTACCTTTGATTGACACATTGTCGGGACTTTCATCAGATGATTCTGAACTCATGGGGTCCAGGTCAAAGGGACAGCAAGGCATGTCTTCTTCGTCCGATGGATAAGACAGGTAGGAATCTGAATCACTCATTGTAGTCAGGATCCAATCACTTTACACCATAAAAGAACTGTAATGTTTATGAAGCTGTTCCAAATACCATACAAAGCATCCAAGTCAAGGTGTACCTAGTAATACAGCAGGCAGTTGCCACAGCCAACAAATACCTTCGTTATATACCTGCCTATTTTCCACTCAGTTATTCCAACATAATATGAGCCACCACGTGGCACTTTGGACATACCTGATAGGTATTCCTGAAAACGTAGGTTATTCCAAACGTAGTCAACAAAGTTCTCTTCCCACGAATTGTCTGTGTGTCCTTCACAATACGTACGAAAGGTGGGTTCATGAAAGGTTTTTATTTGAATGTGTCTGTCCTCCACCCAGTCTCGGCTATTCTCGTGGAAATGCCGATGCTCTGGTCTCACTGTGGCTTCACTCTCTTCAAGTTGTCCTTTTGAAACAAATGTAATCAGTTCAAACGTTGACGGAAACTCAATTTCATGATCTGAGCACACCTTGGTGTTGAGACTCACAGAGGACACACACGATCCTTTGGCAACCGTTAAAATCAGGATACCTTGTTGAAGACAGAACCACTCTCGAGAGTAGGACTCCACAAATGAACAACCATCAGCAATCAAACTTTTCAAACTTTTGTCAACAAACTGGTCAAATTCTGATAGGTTGCTATCGTTATTTGTTCGGTCAGTAATGTGAATAAACAAAATACCACCCTCAGTGTTACGTAATGCAGACACACACGTATCAAATTCCCGAAGTACTAAACGCTTCTTCTTTCTATCCTGTTCGGTAAAAGTTGATTCTTTTGTATGGAAGAAAATGATATTAGGTTCCTGTTCACGATGTTTCAAAGGATTTATAAGCGGTCCAACAGATGCACTTGTCTTTCTCTGAAACACGAAAATGATATAAAGCGACCATTTGTAACATTATACTTAACACTAAGGAAGTTAATTGTCAAGTCCTTTTTATGAATGATTAGTTAAATTTAGGATGTAGTTTTCTAAATCCGGAAGGGTGTATACGCACTTAACTAGAACGTCAGTAGTTTTGTAGCAGCTCTGAGAATTGACAGCTACTAACATCAAGTACATTAACTTGGTATGAGATACCAGTTAATCCCATGTTGTAATCAAATATGATACAAAACATGGAGACACTGGAGTTCTGGAGACACTATTTCATTGTTCTAAAATAATATGGAATTGATTCCCTTTATAAACATAAGTCAAGCACAGTCTTTTTAAGCAAAGTTTCCATTCTCATGTTGATTTAACTTTCATACATATAAATATAAGTTCTCTCATGCCCATGCTTGAATAAATCAGACATGAAATTTCACTATTTGCTCAAAGATGAATGTATATCTGCCATACCTGTTGGGTCACTGAGAAGACAGGCCATACCCCGACCACTCCTACATGACGACTGGCATGTTTACAGTTACGTGCAGTTGAAAAGAACACGAGACACATATGACGGCGTTGTTGATAAAAAGGTCAGAACGTGTAACAGATAGCAAATCTATATTGGGTAACAGATTGGCGCTTGGTAAACGTACGTATGAATCGATCTGGCTCAGTACATTATACGTTGTATGCTTCTCTCGAGGGTAATGCGGTCTTTGTACGCCTCTTTGTAGCAGTGTCACCCGAGCCGGTAGGCGAGGAGTGACACTTACCCAGTTTGATAAGAATAATCAATCTAGCTGGTTTTAAAATCTGAGCCTGTGACTGTCGATACATCAAGTGAATGACGTGCTTGATGTACAGTGCAGTATTAGGGTGACATTGCTTGTCACTGAAAGAAGACACCAATGTGTGACTTGAATCGTCAAGTTGAATTAGTAGTAGGATATGACGATTATTTGACAAAATGAAAATGAGGTTGCTGGACGATCTCTATTTGAATATATATAACAGAAGTTACTAGACAAAGCCCTTAGGAATTTAACATATGTTATATTTGGGATTACACTTTCCTAGTAAAGTATAGATTCTAGTACTTTGTTGGGTTAAGTCCCATCTGTGGTTCGAACCCACACTCTCAGAGTCAGGCACCTAATCGCCAGCACAGAAAGTCAGCCGCCTAAACCCGCTCAGCCACTGCGGCTTTTCCAAATTTGTAAATTTGTATGTCTGACAACTGGTAGGTTAGACCACGGACTTTGTGTACCCCTCTGATAAGTGTAATTTAACATTCAGACATTTTAACGACAGTGTTAACAATGACATTAATTCAAAGGCTATACTATATCCACATGACTTAGTATTCAGTTCATATCCGTTACAATGAAATAATGGGGTAATCTTATCTTAAGGTAATACTATGACCGGGAGGCCGGTTGAAGACATTCGCGATTACCCTTGGTGTACAGCTATTGACTATCTGCCAAGGTAAACATCGTTATCACCCGACGTTCATTTTATTCAGAACATACAAACAGCTTAGTTATGTGATGGAACATTTGACCTCGGATTCATTGATCTAACTAGAATAGATTTCAACTGTTTTTGGCGAAAAGAATGTTCCAGGTGTACATTGTTATCCTAAACATAGCCTACACACAACACGATCCTTTGTACAGACACTGTATATGATTCATTGCTTAGGCAGGCCTAACAATTTACAACAACAAAAAAGTATATGTGGATAGTTTAGTTTCCATTAAGGAGAAACCCCAAATCCTATGCTGCTAAACTCTATTCAGAGTATTCAGGTAACAGATTGTATGACATTGCGTCAATTATGGTCGATGACTGTGTTTAAGCTGTTTAAGGATGATATCCTTGTCATTGCAACATCGTAGACTGAAATGATGGAAGTCAGAGGTATGCCTCTTCTAAGTGACGATGCATATCTCCAGAATTTGAATCCTGTCAAAATACTGTATGCGGAGACTCATGTGGAACATAAGTCAGTCTTGGCGAACAAGCCAGTATAGTTCCTTCTTCTTCATAAAACATTTGTGATGTGCAGATGGATTCAGATTCAATCCATATAATTTGTTCTTCAATTGTTAACCTGTCAAACAGGTCTGTCAAGTCTGATGCATGATGTCAATCCCGCAGAAACAAATATTTATCTTAGCATCAATATTAACATATATCAATCAAATACATCTGAAATGTTATGACATGTTACGTCATAAAACACTATTATCTATTTATTAATGAAATCTACAAAATTCGTTTTAATCGCTGCATTTATCATCATGAATAACAAGATTGTTTCATCCAACAAATACGACTCACTAACTAGGTTGGGTGCGTGTCTCACCAACAGAACCTTCCAGACTGATATCTGTGTTTCAATTACAAAGTACCTTTCATGGGTTGTGATGCTGCGATTCATAGCGGGTGCATTTACATATTGACGAATGTGACTCTTGAACACACTGGCATTGACCTGAACGCAACTGTAATCTACCCGTGAGAAGGGTTGTGAGTGACGATCACTACAGTTGATCTCTTTAGAGCTGCAAACAATTGTTGTTTAAACTTGTATCGAGAATGTATCGAGACGCAAACATAAGAACCTTCCCTAAGACATTGGACCAAGAGGAAGTGTTGGCAGTTAAACCAGTTACTATTGCTAACAGTAAGCTAATGAGGATTTTAGCAGTACTTATAGAGTAAGAGATAAAATTGAAGGAATTTAAAACATACCAAAGGAGCCTTTTACAGCAAACTATATTAGAAATCCGCAAATTCCGACATCATCAAAAACCAATACCGTACTATCATGTTGCACCATGAAGCCACATGAACCGAGACAAGGTAACCGAAGGGAACGAAAACTATGGAACTTTCCTGCCATGTGCACCTATCACCATCTATCTGAAGCTGTGTCTCGTTTATTCCGATCATTTACAGACCGCCACCATATAGATGGAATATTGCTGAGTGCGGCGTGAAACTAAATTCACTCACTCAGACACTTGGTTACACCAGATTTCCGGTCTTGAGCTTACTTCCAGGTGTGTAGACATTTGAGACTTTTGGTGTGTGCAAGTGATATAGCTGAGTTGAAGTTTTACATTCCGTCGGAACTGTTTCAGCCATATAGCGACGAGATCGAGATATTTTAATTTTAAGTTAAAATGAGTTTCTTAAAATACATGTTTTCATTTCACTATTATCCACAAAGAGAAAATGTCATGGCACAAAATTTAAAGCAAGGGATATAGACACTGATGGAACGCATGTAATGTTCTGTGTATTCCATTGTGCGTTCTGTTACTGACAATTATACATATGAAGAGAAAGGACAACACTGATGTGATCATGCAAAAAAGCTGTTTTATTGGGTTATTTTCTTGTATGGGTGTTGTGTTGTGAACGCTGTTATATTGCTAAGCATGAATGATAAAATTAGGCGGGAGATTAGGCGGGAGTATAGGCTGTATGTTAGTCAACAGTAACAACAACTGTAATCCAGGAGCTGATTAGTGTAGCACCGCACAAAGCAACATACCATAATCGATTCTGGACAAGTGATTGATGTTATGAACAACGTTCCATGCTATAGAGACAAAATCAACAATGTTACCAATCGCGACCCTGCCAAGCGATCCACATATTCGCGTCGTACGATGACCGAAGGTGTGCTGGGTACCAGATCTAACAGAAAATTCCAACTTAATCGGCGAAAGTCGGTGACTTTAGCAATATTCCAGGAATATCTCCAACACCATAAATGGTCTTAAGTCGCACATTGTGGCCATGTGGGAAATCAAACCCGGGCTTTCGGTTTGACAAACGAACGCTTTATAACCACTTGGATTACCCCCACCGCCCCGGATAAAGTTATCAGATGTGTGTCAAATTACAAGTCTAATGTTATCCCAGCCTTGGCAATCGTGCTTAACAATAGTGTTCAGAGTGTTCGGAAACTCATAAATCTGACTCACACACTACACTGGTGCTTATGTCACAAGGGAAATATCCACATTGACGTGTGTCAAATGTGTGGGTTCGTGACTGAAGGAATGTGTTACTATCACTGTAGACAAATGAAACAGCTAAAGTTTGTTACGTGTGTGTGCGCGCGCGTGTGTGTGTGCGGGCGCACACCACACATCCTAATCTCCAATTGGCACATTGATTGATCTTTCACTTTTATAACATTGAAAACGCACCAGTCTAAAATTGTCCATATTTTCAGCAAGATGGATTTCAGCATGACAATGATCAATGGATATGACTAAGATGAAGACGAAGGACATGTGTAGTTGAAAAAATGCTTTAGAAACAAATTCCTGATTACCGTATGACTCTTAATTCCAAAACGCATCAACATGCAGCCTCGCCATGAAAATAGCGCGAATTTCTTTCTGAAATCATGCTGACTGTGACCTTAAAAGCAGGTGTATGAGAAACGCTTCTCATTGCTTTGAGGACAGCGATGCTGAGGTTAACACCTCGCAAAAGAGAATGTGCACTAGGCATTCAGGTTGGCACCAGCAGCAGGGATATTGCTCGACAACTTGGACTTGGCCACTCCACCATCGTTAGGCTTCATGGACGACATCAGCAGACAGGCAGTACACGCGACCTTCCACGACCTTGGCAAAAACGTGTCACGGTCCCCCGTCAGGATCGCCATATTGACCTTGGCCATATCCCTGATCGAACACTGCTGGCTGCCAGGACTGCTGCACTAGTTCAAGGTCGACGTGGGGTCATCAGCGCTGACACCATGCGACGTCTACACGCTACAGGGCTTCATGCTCGACGTCCTTACGTTGGACCAATTCTGACTGACAGACACCGAAATGAGCGTATACAATGGGCTAACATGCATGTTCAGTAAAGGTTACAACAATGACATGGTGTTGTTATAAGGTAAAAATGCATCCCCAAAACCATGAGAGAATTACATCAGATTCGTATTTAGATTTGCAGTTTTGCTCATGAGTCATAACGGTTAGGCACGGTATGGAGACGGAAAGTTTCCATAGAATTGCGTTTAGCCGTAAGCTATGGAAAGAGAGACAGAATACATTTGTTGTGAAATACATAACAGATTAATTTTATATTGAAACAAACAAGAAAGGGGAGAGTGACCGAACAATTCTTCCCGGTACTTTTCCAATCGTAATATTCATGAGTGCAAGGTCGGATACAGACTAACCGAATCAAAACGATTAGTTGAAACATGTGATCAAGATCAGGCCAAGCTCGAACCATATAAAAAGACATGTTGGGCACTGAGCGAGTGGTGCGCGCTTTTTAGTGACGGAAGCCAGTCCACGCCACTCAGTTGCCTCGTGTGGTACGAACCTGCCCTGCCCTGCCAGAGCTACCATCTCCCCGAACAATGTGGAACGACCATAATTAATAGGTAACTGTGGTAGGGTTTACTAACACCCAAACGCCAGTTACGACAGTGTGGTAGTCACCGATGAGTCAACGCTTTCATGTACGTGATGCTGACGGCTGCTTTCGTGTTTGGCGTCGCCGTGGTAAACGTTATGCTGATGAGTGTGTGGTTAAGACAGACCGTTGGGTGGTGGGAGTGTCATGGTCTGGGGTGAATAAGTTACAATCACAGCACTGCACTTCATGTCTGTCGAGGGAGAGTTTATGCCCTTTACTGCCGTGACCAGATTCTTGAGAATTACGTCGTATTATTCTTCAATCACCACCAAGATGTCCATACTTTTCAAAAGGACAACACACGGGCACACACAGCTAGACTTTCCATGCAGTATCTGGCCCAGCAACACATCCCGGTAATTCATTGGCCAACACTGTGTCCACATGTATCCCCCATTGGGCACTTGTGGGACGAAACTGGTCAAAGTATTTCGCGGCGACAACAGATGCGAAACATCCGGGAACTTGAGGCTGCGCTACTGCAGAAGTGGAATGCCATCCTCCAGAACTCTATTCTGACGCTTATTGACTCAATGAGGAGACGTTGCACTGCATATGTCAATGCAGATAGCGGTCACACGCGATATTGACTTTTCGATTTGACCCCACATGTGTTTGATCCTTTCTGACTGTGGAATGAGTGCGTTTTCAATGTTGGTGAGTGTATATAAACGTTCAAATATCGTGGAGCAGGTTAGCAAATTTTTAACAAAATATCAAGTGCATACCTAAGTGCTGGGCCTAATAAATGATCAGGTTGATATACAATTGTACTATGCCTGTCAACAGAAGGATAAACAACTCTGCGTTGTTGGGGTCACTGGTGCAAACACAGATAACAGAGGCTCGATCGATGTATGCGTACAGGTACACTTCAAAACTGAAACACTATCTTGACAAATTAGAATAAGCTTTTTTGTCATGTAAAGACCTACCGGGTGATTTGGACTCACAGAGATTCAAGAAAACAAACGCGCGCAGTATTGTATGTATGTATGTATGTATGTATGTATGTATGTATGTATGTATGTATGTGTATGTATGTATGTATGTATGTATGTATGTATGTATGTATGTATGTATGTATGTATGTATGTGTGTATGTATGTATGCATGTATGTATGTATGTATGTATGTATGTATGTATGTATGTATGTATGTATGTATGTATGTATGTATGTATGCGTATGTATGTATGTATGTATGTATGTATGTATGTATGTATGTATGTATGTATGCGTGTATGTATGTATGTATGTATGTATGTATGTATGTATGTATGTATGTATGTATGTATGTATGTATGTATGTATGTATGTATGTATGTATGTATGCGTGTATGTATGTGCATGCGTATGTATGTATGTATGTATGTATGTATGTATGTATGCGTGTATGTATGTATGTATGTGTGTGTGTATGTATGTATGCGTGTATGTATGTATGTATGTATGTATGTATGTATGTATGTATGTATGTGTATGTATGTATGTATGTATGTATGTATGTATGTATGTATGTATGTATGTATGTATGCGTGTATGCGTGTATGTATGTATGCGTGTATGCGTATGTATGTATGTATGTGTGTATGTATGTATGTATGTATGTATGTGTGTATGTGATTTATGTATGTATGTATGTATGTATGCGTGCATGTACGTATGTATGTACATACGTATGTATGTATGCGTGTGCACGCATGTATGTATATGGATGCGTGTATGTATGGATGTAAGTGAATGTGTGTGTCAATGAGTTGTGAACGAATGTGCGAATGACTGACTGAATGAATGAATGGATGCATGGATGGTTAGTTGTTTGGCTGGTTTGTTTGATTGTTTGCTTGGTTGGTTGGTTGAATGATTGAATGGACGGTATGTAAACTTCATGTTTTTATTTGTGTTTCATATCAGACTGCAGTTAACATGCGTGGCGTTACATTAGCTGATGATGGAATGCACACAGACAGGCTCCAGTAAGTTCTCCTTCTATCCTATCTGCCAGAAATATTGCTTTTACTAAATGTTAGCACATACATGTAACAAACCATATATTAATATCCATGGGTTTTCGACAAATTGGTTTTCTTTGATTCCTACTTTAAAAAAGTGCCCATTTGGTACATTTAGGACTGTGTTAACACAGAAGCTTCTAACGTAAAACAACTGCGCCCTGATGTGTTGACCTCGTTACACCCCTTTCCTTTTATATAGTGCTAAGACCCCGTCATCGATAACATAATACTCGATGCCATTTTTTTTCGTTACAATCCCCTGTATCTGTTCCGACAGTCTTGTCATAAATAAAAATAATCTTAGTTTTTTGTCCAGTAAAATCCAATGAAATTGTAAGGCAATAATAATTATTTTAATCATAATGTTGAAACTATGATTCCACTAAGTGTAAGTCTCGACAATCGACCATAGATGTAATGGTCGATCAACCCATGAGTATTATCCATATGTCAAAATATGTATCTGAATGATGGTGAATAGATAAATTATCTTTACCATGTTTTTTACCATATTCTTGTTTTAGACTTCTTCGAGGCGTACAGAGTATTTGAACGAACAATACAAGAGCCAAACATTAAATACATCCACATAAGTGCAGAAGTGCTGATACAATCTGGAAAATTGAAGAAATCCAAAAACGATGCCAACAAAGCAAAACGAAATCGAAAACGGAACATTTTAGGAATATTTCAGAAAATCGTCTCGGCTCTCCGTAATTCCAAGGGCGGATGCGTTCTTATTCACCTCTGTGACAGAAAAGATACAAAATTCAACTTATCAGCATTTGATGAATTTGCAGATAGAAGTCTAAAATCTTTGATTGGTGACGGGTCCCTCTACACTGATGTCTACAAGCGAAAATGGTTAAGAGAATACCCCAAGTTTGAGAAATACGTCAACATCATTGTCCTTACTGTTAGTGCAGGCACCGGCGTTGCAACAGTAGAACCAAACACAAAGGTAGGATCTGATCACGAAGTCGTGGACCCGTACTTTTTTGAACTCCTTACTCTTCTTGGAAAATCTGACAAAACGTCACAAACTAAACTTCGAGGAATCGCAAGCAATGCATTATTCGAGAGTCGCAGTTTACAGCTGAAATCATTTCCAGAAGATCAAGGATGTCTTCTCGAAGATGGAAAAGAATCTGAACTTGCTGACTTTATATGGAATACCCAACGTTTTAAATACTATCTGAGCTCATTTTCCAAACTGTACGAGGGTGGATCTTACTACACGGGAGTTGCCGAGGCAAAAACGTCTTCAAATCCAACAGTCAAAGGAATTGAATTCCAAGGAAAAGAAGACAAACTGAAAGAAGAATTTGAAAAAAAGTTAGAGAGTGTTGTGATTCTTAGTAGGGATGGTGCAGCTCAGACAGGAAGTTCTTGCGAAAACCTCATTCAAATCCATCTGCACCCATTGAGTGACAGTGACAACAAAGTGCTGGAGATAGCTGTACGTTTTGTTCCTGGAATACTATTTTATGACAATGGACCTGAAGCCTACAACGTCGTGTCCAACGACATAACAAAAATGACCTTCAGTGAATGGTGCGAAAGACTGATGGTCCTGTGTCGAAAATACATTGTGTAAATTACGGTTGAAACGTGCTTTATATCTCGTTCTGTACAATGTCGTCTGATGAAAGTGATTCAAGTTTGTCCTCATTATCTGATGCCGATATAACGTACTCCCCGTGCGAGTTGGAATATATGAGTTCCACTTCAGATGATGTAGACGGTTGTAGCGGCATGCATGGACAAGAACCTAAATATACTTTCTTGAAAGGTACATCTGTTTGAACTTCTCTATTGCGTTACAGTTTACAATTTTAAAAATGGCACACACCTCATTTTGCAGATGTCTCGTTCATGACAACACAATGTGTCATTGTGGTTTCAGCGAGGGTGATTACTTTCTAACGTTTGCGTTCCACATTAATTTAATTAATACATGTTCAACAGTTGATGACAGTATGTTAAGCCTAATTATTCCATGTTCTGCATGATGTGTATGTAAAGCATACGATCTTAAAAGTAATGACTAGATACAACTTAATACTGTACTGTAGCTATTTAAATGTTATCTGGTTGGTTTGTAATTGCAGTCAAGGAGACTTCAGAGGTCAAACAGCTGTACGGTTCTTTCAACCTTGATGCCATCAAGGAACTTGAAACATATTTCAATGGCCTCAAAAGGACAGACGGTGAGCATTTAACATAAATAAATTATATTCAGGTGTGTGTCTATTTCTAGAATGAGGTTACACCAGACGCTTGTCACTTCCACGCAATGCAATCTTAAGTATTTCAGAAGTCAGAACAAAACATCTCCATGTGGCATGTGATGGATCAGTTTCATAGCCTTAAACACGTTTGTTTTCCGCCTTACCCAGAAGAAATTATTGTATGTCGATACAAAATCGGTACTAAAATATACTAAGACTCATATCTACTCCCCAAGGTCCTACACTCACATTTCGCGGGTTAGTAGGATGCCACTCGGTAAATCATTATTCACTTTTCATTTTTCAAGGTCTTGGTTTGCCTTTGTTGGGAGAGGCCAAGTTAACGTATTTATTCTGGTTGCTGTAAGCATATGTTTTTCTGTTTTAATTTCCCTTGCACAAGATAAACGATATAAAAGCCAGACGTTGATTTCAAGGCGTTCATGGTGTGGTGACAATAATAATTTGTTTTTGCATTCACACAGGCAAAATCAGATTTTTTCCCAAGTCAATGGAACAGTTTGTAGCAAACCAACATCCAAAGATTTTGGAACAGTTGAAGAGTCTTGACTTCAAAGACGTCTTTGTGTATTTAGGAAGTACATTTGCCGTCACTTTAAACATACACAATGAAAGAATAAAAATTCCTAGAAGGCTCATCTGTGATGCGTTGGTGTTTAGCAGCAACGAAGCCGTTTTGGTACTTAGTTTTGTCAAACATCAAACAGACATGGCCAGGAGACTTGATATGTATAACAACTTTGTTGCCCGAGGTGTGACGGAAGCTCTGAGAACATTTCTGAATGACATCAGTGTTGTTAGAGGTGTCATTGAAGAAGGGACCAATCTTAGCTCTTGTCTTCCTGAGATGGAGAAACAGACAATGTTTTTCCATCCCAGCTCAATCTCCATGGATCAGGACAAACGGGATGCAGCTGTCAAAGCAATTCTGAAGTCAGTTGCAGTTACCCAGGCAGCAATTGTTTACACGCCGTCTGCGTATGGTGCCAGTGGAAAAGGGTCATGCTTCTTGAACCTCAGCGAATTTGAATTTTTATCAGAGTTCATAGACATGAAAAGTACCACCTCCATGCATACAGCTAAAGGACAGAAGGACATCTTAGCACTTGAAATAGCGAGCAGGATATCCAGAAGAGGCAAGACAGCTATTCATGTACAACACACTGGTCATAATGAAGCATTGGAGGCTCACAGGTAAATACCGTCGTCATCACAATGTCTTAAATAAACATATCACCACCATTATTTATTTAGACAATGATTCACCTGATGTGTTTTGTATGAGCATAAACACATAAATGTTGCAGGCTCTGAATTCAAATAATAGTTCTGATGTCATCTTACTGAATACAATCTATCTGATACAGGAACAAACATCCGAATTTAGACGTCTTCAAAACTGGAACTGATATTGATTGTGAGAAGTATGAACACATTTTTGCTGCGAAAATGAGTCATATCAAAGGGAATAAAAAGAGTGGCGGACATATTTGCATCATTTCATCTTCAAAATCAGGTAAGCATTCAATAATAAGAAAATAAGTGTATATGAACATCAGAGTGAGTCAGTGAGTGAGGCAAAATTTAACGTCACATCTGCAATATTTCAGCCATATCGTGACGAGAACAATCAATTTTATACCTAGTAAGTAATGGTAAACTGTAAAAAACCTGTCAACGAAGGGCAGTAAAATAAGTAGATTATCACAGATTCGAATTTAAAACTAGTAATTAAATCTAAAACATTTCAACTATAGGGGACAGCACAAGATAAAAATAGGCTATAGATCGCCAACAACTGAAGGGAGATCACCATACTAGGAACCATGGGGACTTACAGTACCTTTGCTACCTGCATGGACCCTAGTTGGGTTCCCTTCAGCCATTGGTGATGGACGACAAATCTAGCAATAAATTAAAAGCACACATATTCTACGATTAAAAAGGTGGCAAGTTTAAATGTATTTTAAATGTGTTGGGACTTACGTACCCTCTCAGGAGGACAATAATTTCACGCTACTTCAACCCCCTTTGAGGGTACAGCCACTAACAATCTCAGTTACTAATCTAAACTACCAACAATAAAATATTTAGCTATTTACAGATCAGTCAACAAATCTAATTCTTTTCAAAAATCAACTATTAAATGATAACTTATATTATTAAAAAGATCCTTCATTGTTCGTGATTTGAAATAATTATCCCTTGTGATGGAATATTCAACACAGTCAAGCAGGACATGTTTGACTGTGATTCTTTCATCACAAGGGATACAAAACGGAGGATCCTCACCTTTCAATAGGTATTCATGAGTATATCTTGTGTGGCCAATACGATATCGTCGTATGATGGCCTCTGCAAATCTGGGCTGACAACCCAAGTGAGTATAACCGATATAAGATTTTATTTCATGTAATTTATTGATACCCACTTGAGTGTCCCACTTCTTCTGCATCATATCAGGGATGTAGGTTCTAATGCTGGCTTTGCAATATGAACATCAGAAAACATGTGAACGTTTACATTAATCATTGCAATATAGTGATATAGCAATAAAGTGCAAAAGATGTGTTCATTGTTCACCGTTTAGTATTCCTAAAATATTAAACTTGTTCTCTAGGCATTCTTTGGATCGAAACAAGTAAATGAAAACAGAAGTAACTGTTATGACATCATATGCTATTAAAAGTGTATCAGATTTAGTGTGCATTTCAAGGTTTAAACGGACAATAATAATTGCAACATATGAATGTACGTTTAAATCAATGATTATGTAATTGGGTGATTATTAAGTGTAAATGCATCGTCCATGGCCACAATTTGCAGTTTTGATAAAATAATAAACTTGCTCTTTTGGCCATGGGCACAACCAATATGAAACTGAGACAACTATTATATTAATAGTATTTCATACCGATGAGGGTGTATCAGATTTACTGTGTATTTGAAGGGGTTTTTCCTTTTCCTCCTGAAAAATACAGGTACAATTTTGCACCATTCCAACGTTAACATTAACTTGTGAGAGTCAAACATGAAGTTCTTTTGTAGCGGATAATCTCCAACGATGCTTAATTGTTACCGTTGTTTTAATCTTCAAATATGTTGCGTTGATGTATTGACGTCCTGTGCATTATATATTCTGTAAATATCAAGTTAACAAGCAGTGTGTTTATTTTGATGCAACAGATTCCAAACCTGTGAAGAAACCTAAGAAGAGTCATTCCAATAAGTCTTTCCTTCAACGATTGTTCGGAAAGAGAGCTACTGTGAAAGTAAGTAGTAAGGTGCATGAATGGTGTACCGGCGGATAACAATGAAAGTGCATTTACATTGCAAGTACAACAAACTGGGTTACATAGCAAGGTGCTATAATCTTAGGCGCACATGTTGCCTTGGTCGATATTTGTTTTGCAGTAATGTAGCCATACCAACATCCACTTGAGAAAAGGTTAGAATATCACGTTCGCCCTATCTTTGATAGGTAGAATCATATGTATGCTCATGGTTTCACAAGCATAGCCTGGTGTAAATGTTGTAAAGTTGTAAATGTATAGAACCTATATCTTTTACAGTGTTCTCACAGCTTGAAGTCTACATGCTAGTAAAGGTGATCAGACCCAACCCACTCTTAACATGTCTTATTTTAAAAGTTTTTATCTTTTTAGATATCTCAAGGGCCTGTTGAATTGGGTAAGTAATATATAATAGTTCAAAATAATAGTTCAACTTAATTGTGCAGTATCCACACGTCATTGCCTAAACATACATGGTAGCGGGAAAATGTACCATGTCACCACTTACATTTTTTATTTATGATACGACCCTTTAGACAGCATAAATACCAATCAAACAATGACCTAAGTAAATACCAGACAGGACTATAGGAGTATTCCAATGGAAGCTGAATGAAGACAACGTTCCGCAATTTGTATTTTTCTTTTAAACCACACGATACATCTCTTTGAAATAATCTCAGAATTCAAATTCATGCTGGGAGTCTTTACCCCTGAAATTAAGAAAATATCGAATGCTAAAGTCATATCTTTTCCTGCTTATGAGTTAGCTCGCTTTAATTTTAGCCATGGCTTATTGCAACGATTATTTTAGAATATTGGAGCCAAGTCTAATTTGGTGATTTACTTGTTTCAATTCACCCACATCTTAATCACGAAAGGCTTAAAATAACCAAGTCTCAACAAGATAAGTGTATCCATGGTTATATGCATATTCACGAAGCGCATGCCAAAATATTTTCTTTCTAGATCGGCAGTCCCAGTCGATGCCGAATTTGTCAACTATAACCACAGAGGAATTACCATCTGGGGAGCTGTATCAAGATGACGGAGTATGTTTTGTCTTAAATGTTCCCTTATGAAGATGTATAGTTTGTTACTCTTTTTTCACAACAAAACGAGGTCATGTATTGTAGAAAAGTGCCCAATTATACAATTTATATTTATTGTTCTTTGTTTATTATTTATATTTATTTATAACCCATGCGTTAATTTGTACTAGAAAATAACTCAATGAAAACCTGTAGTTTCATTTCCAGATTCTTTTGTGCTGTTAATGAGAAAATGTTTCTTGTTGAGGTCATATTATTGATTAAGATGGCTATTGCTTACTAGTCCGATTACCTATATCCTGTCGGCTGTGCTAGACCAGAAACGTCTTTTAATAACTTCTATTATTACAGGGAATCACCCTCGTTACCCATAAACGACTGAATGAACCAGGGGTCAAAAGAAGTTCAGGCTTAACAACAGTAACGACTGCAACCCAATTATCACTGCAACCTCCTCCATCTTTACCAAGTGCCGAGGAGCCTGAATTGAAAAAATGTAAGTATTAAAGAATACCTACATCAAGGCATATTACCACGTTTAAGCAATACGACCTCGTTGTGTTCATGACAGCGGATGAAGCTGTGTGATATTTGCCTCCAAATGTCCAACATGCTACGGGGGCAATTGTCTCCATTTAGTGTAAATGATAACATATCCAGGCTACTCGTTCTCATTCCTTTTATTTCTACAGTAATGTTTCAATATTTAATGGCACTTTTGTTTGCAAGTAGACAGGATATAACTTCAGATGGATACTAATGCTCAGTTTGTTCAACAGCAACTCTGCACTACCAATTACTGTGTTTATGACAACTGGGTCACGACCATGATCGATTTATGATAATGTCATTATTGTTTGATCATTAGCCAATATGGTTCGATTTAAGGAAGTACCTAGCTTCTTACACATATTTGTCTTGAGGTAAGTAATTATGCCAGACAGGAGTATTCCAATGGAAGGTGCCAAATGCCTTATGCTTATCTTCATAAAAAAAGAAGACAACGTTCCTAAATGTGTATTTTTCTTTACTTTTAAACCATATGAGATAGAACTTTGAAATATTCACAGTATTCCAATTCATTCTGGGAGTCTTTACGCCAGAAATTAGAAAATATCGGATGTTGAAATTATATCTTTTCCTGTTTGTGACCCGTTTTAAAGTTAGTTCCTCAGTTTTAGCCATAACTGTATTCTATATTGCAACGATTATTTTAGAATAATTGAGCCAAGTCTACGTCCCTTATACTGTACAAACTGGGTGGCTTTGTTGTTGTTTCACACACTTCACCCACATCTTAATCACGACAGCCTGAAAATAACCAAGTCTCAATAAGACATTATCTTTTTTCATACATCTGTATCCATGGTCATATGCATATTCACGAAGTCCATGCCATAATAATTTCTTTCCAGATCGACAGATCCTGTCGATGCCGAATTTGTCAACTATAACCATAGAGGAATTACCATCTGGGGAGCTGTATCAAGATGACGGAGTATGTCTTGTCTTTAATTTTCCCCTATGAAGATGTATAGTTTGTAACTCTTTTTTCACAACAAAACGAGGTCATGTATTGCAGAATAGTGCCTAATTATACAATTTATATTTATTGTTCATTGTTCATTTTTAACATTTATTTATAACCAATGCGTATGTATTAGAAAACAACTCAATCAAAACCTTTAGTTTCATTTCCAGATTTTTTTGTGCTGTTAAGGAAAAAATGTTTCTTGTTGAGGTCATATTATTTGATTAAGATCGCTATTGCTTACTAGTCCGATTACCTATATCCTGTCACCAGTGCTAGACCAGAAACGTATTTTAATAACTTCTATTATTACAGGGAATCACCCTCGTTAGCCATAAACGACTGAATGAACCAGGGGTTAAAAGAAGTTCAGGCTTAACAACAGTTACGACTGCAACCCAATTATCACTGCAACCTCCTTCCTTTCTACCAAGTGCCGAGGACACTGAAGTGAGAAAATGTAAGTATTAAAGTATACCTACATCAAGGCACATTACCACGTTTAAACAATACGATCTCGTTGTGTTCATGGCGGCGGATGAAGCTATGTGATATTTGCCTCCAAACGTCCAACATGCTACGGGGGCAATTTTGTCCATTTATTGTTAATGATAACATACTACGGCTTCTCATTCTCATTCCTTGTAATTCTACAGTTATGTTTCAATATTTAATGGCAGTATTGTTTGCAAGTGGACAGGATACAATTCCAGATAGATACCCATTGCTCAGTTTGCTCAACAGCAACTCTGCACTACGAGCTTCAGTGTCTTCGACAACTGGGTCTCGACCATGACCGATTTATGATAATGTCATTAATGTTTGATCATTAGCCAATATGGTTCAATTTACCAAAGTACTTAGCTTCTTACACGTGTCTCTAGGTATTACGATGTATGATCCAAATAAAAAGTTGTATTTCGGTACATTAATATAACTAAAGATCAGGTGCATTTATATAATGAAAGATAGCTTAAGGTGGCAGTAAAAGAATATAACCATTTTATTTACTTATTTTTGTTTTAGGTGCGCCAGATGTCCCGATCAAGGTAGGTTTTTGATAATAACCTTGTTCTTTTACACTAACCTATATGAATTTCTAGGGGCGGTGGTGTAGCCTGAAGGTTAAAGCGTCCGATCGTCACGCTGAAATCGCGAGTTCGATTCCCCACATGGGTACGATGTGTGAAGCCCATTTCTGGTGTTCCCCGCCATGATATTGCTGGAATGTTGCTAAAAACAGCATATAACTAAACTAGACTCACTTATTCACTATTTTTATGAATTTCTATTTTTCAAAGTTTTCTAAAACACGTAAATGAATTGAATAGTTTGGTTCCCATACAGTTTGGTCTCTCACTGGAGGCAGAATAATGGTCACTGTTGTTTTGAATAGCACTCATTCTTGTCATACCTGCGTTTATGTCCAATGTTTATCACGGCGCGAAGCTCCCCACTGTATCTCTGGGAAAATGCTGATAACCATAATTGCCGATTCCATTACAGAGACAAAGTTCGACGGCATCAGAATCAGAATATGACAAGGATAGTTTCACAAATGACGTTTCCTGTGGTGGAGGATCTATAGGAAGAGTGTCTCCTGTCTCACTAACTTCCTCTTCTTCAAGTGGCTATCTCAGTAATTGTGAAAGTCCACGCAGATCCGAAACACGCCCAGAAACACAGGATGTCAACATGGATTCTTAACAATTCCATCTAAGAGGAATTATTTCAAGTAATTTCAACGGTAAAGAAGGTGATAATTCACACGTCTATAGACAAAGAGTTCGCCAACACAACAGCAGCCTGTACTGTTGTGTTTCTGTTAACTCGAGTCCACAAGATGGCGTCAAGGTCAGTACTTTGTATGGTCACCATTGGCAGCAATTACTGTTTGGCGCCGTCTCGGCACAAACTGTATAATTCGACGAAGTCACTCTTGTGCATTTCTTCCCTTCTCTTCCTGCAATGCAATAGCTACTTGTGGACGTCTGAGGCGTGTTTTGACGTTGACGTATACGTCGATCGAGTTCATCCCATAGGTGTTCTATCTTATTAGATCTGGTGATCGGGAAGGCCATGGCAAGACATTGACGTTAGAATTGTCAAGGAAGCGGTATGTATGTGAAGTAGCGTTGTCATGCCGGAACAACTCCCTCTATTGGTCCATAATCGGAAGCATGTGGCATGCAAGACTTCGTCGATGTACCGATTTGTCAAATTGCCCTGAACCACTACTAAATCAGATCTTTATGTGCACGATATCGCACCCCACACCCGCACCCATCTTCGAATCTGTCGACCCATCAAAAGCAATTAGGAGCAAAGTTTCATTTCTCAAGACTATGATGCAAGTGAGCAACCCGGATGTAGCGGTCCTTGGCTTGGGTGGGCTTCGGCGAAATTGGTCTGCAGGAAACGATCCCAAAGGCGAGATATGATGCTCTGATGCACGTTGAAATGTCGGGCAACTGCAGACTGCAACGTCCCAGTTTCAAGGTGGCCTATGGCGACGTTTCTTTTGGTTGCACTCAGTAATGGCATGATGATTTCCTCTTTTCCAGACTAAAACGAATGACAAAATTAAACACAACGTTTGCCTTTTTATCGTGACTTTTTCTGGTGTCCCCCACCGTAATATTGCTGGAATATTGCTGAAAGCGGCGTAAAACCAAACTCACTCACTCACTCACTCTGATTAGCCGTTGTACACAATGTGTTTCTATTCTGTCATGCTGTTGCAAGAAAACATTTTTACTCTTCTTCCGAGCTGCCCAGTAGGTTACAGTAGGAAAACAATGTTTTTACTCTTATGCTGCTGTAGCAAAAAATGTGTTGTTTTCGTTTGTTAAGCTGCTGTAGAAAATAATATGTTTTTCTACGTTTATGCCTCTGTACTAAAAATGTATCCTTTTCGTTTGTTAAGCTGCTGTAGAAAATAAATGTTTTTCTACTTTTATGCCTCTGTACAAAAAATGTATCCTTTTCGTTTGTTAAGCTGCTGTAGAAAATAATATGTTTTTCTACTTTTATGCCTCTGTTCAAAAAATGTATCCTTTTGTTTGTTAATCAGCTGTAGAAAATAATATGTTTTTCTACTTTTATGCCTCTGTATAAAAAATGTGTGGCTTTCGTTTGTTAATCAGCTGTAGAAAATAATATGTTTTTCTACTTTTATGCCTCTGTGTAAAAATGTATGGATTTCGTTTGTTAAGCAAGCTGTAGAAAATAATATGTTCTTCTACTTTTATGCCTCTGTGTAAAAAATGTGTGGTTTTCGTTTGTTAAGCTGCTGTAGAAAACATGGTGTATCTCGTGGAACGCTGCCACATGAAACATTGTGTTTTTCTCCTTTTACTTTGCAACATGCTATGTCATGTTACCACATGTTGTATATTTCTCCTGCTACATTTACAGTATGAAACAATGTGTGTTTCGTCAGCTATGTTACCACATGAAACATTGTATTTTTCTCCTGTCTTGTTGCTGTGTGAAACAATGTTGAAGGAAATATTGTATATTCTCATGCCGAGCTGCCAAAGTGAAACATTGTTCTTTTTACAGACATACTGCTGTTAGAAACAGTGAGTGTTTTCTTCTTTCGTGATGTTGTGTTTAGGCACTGATCTCTGATAAAAATATCCAGTTTGACAAGCGATTTTTGTTTTGCATGTTTGTCATTTCTTAACTCATGCATTGCATGTATTATTCATTGTGCATTGCATTATTTGCTATACAGTTTCAATGTGTGAATGTAGGCATTGATGCACTCCTTCTCCCTATTATCATACCTATGGGGAAATATCAGTAGTTTGTTTCTAAATGATGCTGATCTAAACTGCCATAAACAAATAATTCAGACACATTTCGGGTACCCTCTTGTCTTCTAGATATCTTTTACATGTATGTTTCACTTGAAATAGTCAACTTTAATTAACAAAATAACGTCAAGTACTGTCAACTCAACTTCCCCAAATTCCGATCATTCAATGGTGGTAGATATAATTTCTGTAAAAGGTATGATAGTGACGTAGGATGGAGTTCTTCATGTTTGGATGAAGTGAAAACATCCATGTTTCCAGTAGAAATACATCAGTAAACCCAAACATGAGGTCCTTAGTACAAGCCTAGTAGTTAAAGCGCTCGGACGTCATATGTGAATCGCTTTCGCTGTCCTCCTTAGTCACGATATGGCTGAAGTATTGCCGGTGTGACTGTAAATCTTAACTCACTCACTCACTCTGCTGTAGTCCACCATGACATTGCTGCCTAACTCACTCACTATACTCACTCACTCAGCAAATCAGCGCACGTACTCACTAACTCACTCACTCACTAACTCTTGCCCACAAACCCGTGCTCAGTTTGCCTTCTTACATACTTATAAGCGTTTATATCTCTAAAACATCATCCAACATACACACCACATACCCTTTTCAAAGCATTACTTGGCCACAGTATTTATTACATGATATGTATCACAGTATTGATTACATGGGTTAGATAAGACGATTTTTTGTCTACTATTTCTATAGCTAATCGTTACGAAGACATTCCAATGATGTCATGCACATGATCACACTCAGTCCTTTAGAACGAACGTTTTAACCACTACCCTAACCATCGGCCTTTTTCAATGGACGCACAGCACACACAGTTATATTCAGTTTATCATTTCCCCATGTCTTTCAAGGTACTCTCACTCCTCGCATATTATTTTACCTGTTACGTGTTGTCAAATACTGCGAAAAATCAACTCCCGGAAATAACTTGCTTATGCCATTCCTGGGTATCACACCCTGTCTGAGTGTACCAGCATATTTGACAGTGGCATGGTTAACGTAAGCTGAATATGAATACATCCGCCCCTACCGTATACGCATAAACAATACAGGTTTAACGTGACGTTTAAACCTACAGACGTTCGTGTTACTAATGGCGACTTTCTTGTCGACCGATTGATCACATGTTGATTAATTTTTCTTCCTAGTTTTGACACATCGCACTAAACTTGAAGCAGTGTTTCTGGAATAGGTGTGCCTGAAGAAAAAGCCATGTATATCCTAGTTGCTCTAACCCTTTCGCTATATTGTTACAATATTGACTAATGTTTATAGTGTTTCATATAAACAATACTAATAGTGACACAACGTGTCATATATGTGGGCAATTATTTTAATTTCACAATGTGTTATATGTACAAACAATACTAATAGTGACGTCACAACATGTCATATATGTGGACAATTATTTTAAAGTCACATTGTGTTATATGTACAAACAATACTGATAGTGGCACAATGTCTGTTATGTGCTTATAGTACCGCAATTTGTCATATATATGGACAATTCAGATAGTGGCACAGTGTGTCACATGCATGGACAATGTTCATGGTGTGTCAATGTGCCATATGTGTTAAATTAGTGCTTTGGTAGAACAAAGGGCAATAACTCTGCAGTCTGGGTAACAGTCTACTTTACTTACATCCAATTACAATAACTGACATAGAGGTATGAAGGTGTTCAAATAATGTTTGATTAGTTTGTGCTCATGTGACACAAGACACATGGGAAATGTTCATTGTGAACATCTGAACACCGTCAATACGTCAACCGAAATTATAACAGCTTACAGTTTAGCACGACTGAGAGTCCGTTGCCGGGCTTAGAGTCCTCTCTCCCTGATGGAGTAGCTGTGAATTGGAGCGCCAAGGGGCCCTATAACGGTTACCTAACGTATTGCCGTTCCGTGGCTCCAGGGAGAGTCAAGACATTACCCTGCCCTTCTCTTGGGTGTGAAGTCAAGGATCGGACGGCCACTGTTCCTATCAACACATGATTTGTGTACCGGCGCAAGTCCATTAAATGACAAACAGCATATAGACCCTCATCAATATGTAGACTCAGTCCTGACTACCATACTAACCTATTATCTCCCTTGGAGAGACACGAATTTGACAAAAATTTCCAAGATGAAACAGATAATGGAAAAGAACTCAGATCAGCAATGAATAAACAGGAGAGTGAGCCTACACTACAAGAAAACTACTAGTATATATGTCAAGAGATAAATGGTGTCGTTTGACAGTTGAAATTAAGAAAATCTCCAGGGCCAGACCGCATAACAAATGAACACATTACAAATGGAAGGATTCTGTTTCTCAAACACCTCACGAACTTATTCCACTGCTTTGTTATACTCGAATTTCAGGACTGGTACAATCATCCCTCAATATAAAGGCAACAATAAAGTGAAGTTCGACCCCTTGAATTACAGAGGAATAACTTTGATACTTTTGAATCGTATTGAACATTATCTGAAGAGTGTCCAGATAGATTTCCCAGATAGACTTCAATGCGGTTTTCGAAAAGGATACGGCGCTGCAGTGTCAACCTTCATCGTGAGAAAAATAATATCCCAGTATACACAGGGAGGATCAAATGGAAAAACTGCACTGCTCGACAACGACAAAGCATTTTGATCGAATTTGCATAATGGTCTACTAGTGAAACTGTTTGAACTTGGAACACAAGGCGGTGCCTGGCACCTTGTGAACCACAGCTATGAACACTTATGTGCATGAATACTTCATAACGGATGTACGAGCCGGACATTCAACATAGAGCAAGGTGTAGGACAAGGGAGAGTACTCTCTGCCTTCATGTTCCTTGTGTACAATAATGACGGAGCTTGATCACGGAGCTGGATAAAGGCCTCGTCATTCGACACAATCATATCCCAATTACTCAACTAGCAGACGACACAACACTGCTCAGTCTTCAGCCAAATAGACTACAGGTCATATTAAATGGCGCGTTACGTACCATGCAGATAAAAGCTGTGTGATGATATCCAAAGGTGGTCATTCAGTTGACAAAAACGTGTGTTTTAGAATTGGTGAAAGTGTTCTTCCAACAGCGAGTAAATAGATAATACTACACGAGGTCTCATTACATACGAATTATACGAAAACGAGTGTCCTTCCTATGACATCTGACCGAGCGAAAGCGAGGTCAGATGACATAGGAAGGTCACGAGTTTCGTATAATTCGTATGTGATGAGACCGAGTGTGGTATTGTATTTATTACCCACGTCTTACATGCATTAAATTGACAAAATAGCGTATTTTTGTTATGTTTTTGGTTTCAAACCGAAACCGGTTTCATAAAGAGGTTGCGGAAGAGTTTTGTACTGTAGTACAATATTTGCATGACGTCACACTGTAATGACGTCACTGCCTTGGTAACCGACGTCACGATGCAAGTCAGTTGTCATCGCCTCGTACAGCTTCCTACAGTAAACTATTCCGTAGCACCTCGTTTCTTGGTTTCCAGTTGCTTCATTCGGCTAACATCACTGTTGGAAACATTGTGTTTATGTTTTTCGACGGATATAATGTCTCAGTTCGACTCACAATTAAACAGCGACACGGCAACGTTCGCAATGTTTGCATTCCCACAATGCATTTAAGTTGTAGAATGAATGAATTCACGATTCATGAATGAAAAAATAGTTACGTCTTAATGCGACCATATTGAGAGGTCATCGGTTATCCAATCAAATCGTTACAATCTCAGCTCAAGTCATTACGACACAGGTCACCGCGATACGACACTCGTGTGACGTACGAGATCAGTATGCAACTACCAATACGTTGACCTCGTGTGTAATAATACCATATATGCTGGATCCCTTATAAGTAAGACTCAACAAGCCGAACGAACAGAGCGTTCCTGTGCAAAAGCCAGAAAACTGTTATATTCCCTGAAGGATGTCGGCTTAAAGGCTGGCTTTATAAGTCCTATAGAATGTGACAAGATTTGGCGTAGAATTTATTAAGACTGGTAACTTTCCGTGCAAACTGGAATGGAGTAGAACTATAAACAGAAAAGTAGCAGAAGCAAATGCCGCTCACTCAGACACCAGAAATGAGCCGTTTTGCCAACATTCACGATGCTCCAGCCCCATATAGACGGCGGGGGATGTGGAAACTGTACCCCATCTCAACCAGACATGTGTACAGTCTAGTTAAACTTTGTGTATTGCCTGTTATGGATGAGATGTGCCTACTCTGTGACACCGAATGTGGTGATATCGTAAAACACCAACTCTTAACCACTGAAAACATGTCACTGAATGAGTGGGATGTATTTATTGACATTACAGCCAAAAGCTTTAGCTCATGGAACCTCAAAGCCCTGCTGTATCTGTGAAGTTGAGGCTATGTCAGAGACTATGCTTGAATATGTAAATATGTTTAATATTATATCCATGTATGTACTCTCCGTCCTAATGAAGGCCATAAATTTCATTCATTCATTCATTCATTCATTCATTCATTCACCCGTGAAGGTCCGGGTTAGAATATTGATCTTCAGTAACCCATGCTTGTCGTAAGAGGCGACTAACGGGATCGGGTGGCCAAGCTCGCTGACTTGGTTTTGGTTGACACATGTCATCGGTTCCCAATTGCGCAGATCGATGCTCATGCTGTTGATCACTGGATTGTCTGGTCCAGACTCGATTATTTACAGACCGCCGCCATACAGCTGGAGTATTGCTGAGTGCAGCGTCAAACTAAACTCACTCACTCACTCTAGAGGTGGATTAGTAATAGATGCGGAGTAAAAT